GCCATTCTGGTGGGGTCCCAGGACCCCCCCCCCAACACACCAACCTGCTCCTTCTCCTGGTGGCCAGTGACCTCTCGTCGCTGCTGCTCCAGCTCGGCCGTGGCCTCAGCCAGGCTCTGCTGCAGCCCCCGCAGCGTCTCCCCCAGCGCCGCCCTCTCCTCCTCCTGCAGCGCCAGAGCCTGGGGGGGGACAGACACGGCTCAATCCGGGGGGGGGACACACCGAGCTGGGACATGGGGGGACATGGGGGGACATGGGGGACACCCACCTGCTGCTTCTCGCTCTCGCGCTGCCGCCGCGTTGCCGCCAGCTCGGCCACCAGCTCCTCCTGCTCCTGAGCCAGCCGGCCCCGCTCGGCCTCCAGCTCCTCCTGACACCCCCAAAAAGCATCAGCAAAGCCCCCAAAAAATCAGCATCGTACCCCAAAATCCCCAATCCCCACCACACCCCAGCAATCAGCATCACGCTCCGAAAATCAGCATCACACCCCCTAAAAATCAGCATCGCGTCCCCTGGAAATCAATGCTGCACCCCAAAATGAGCATCGTGCCCCCCCCTCAATCAGCATCACACCCCAAAAAGCAGCATCACTCCCCTAGAAGCCAGTATCATGAGCCACATATCAGCATTTCTCCTCCAAAATCAGCACTGTGCCCCTCTAAAATCAGTGTCACACCCTCTAAAAATTAGCATCACACCCCAAAAATCAACATCACATGCCAAAAATCAACACTGTACCCCACAAATCAACACTGTACCCTCCAAATCAGCATTGCACCCCCTCAAAATCAGCATCACACCCCCTAAAAATCAGTATCACACCCCAAAAATCAACATTACACCCCAAAAATCAACACTGTACCCCCCAAATCAGCATTGCACTCCAAAAATCAACATTGCATCCCCCCAAAACCAGAATCACACCCCTTAAAAATCAGTATAATGACCCCAAAATTAGCATCGCACCCCAAAAATCAGCATTATGTCCCCTAAAAGCCAGTGTCATGATCCAGAAATCAGTGTCATCCCCTAAAACTCAGTATCATGACCCAAAAAATTGCATTTCTCCCCCAAAATCAGCATTGCACCCTCCCCAAAAATCAGCATCATGACCCAAAAATCAGCATCACGACCCAAAAATCAGCATCACACTCCCTAGATATCAGTATTATGACCCAAAAAATCAGTTCTCCCCCAAAATCAACATTGCACCCTCCCCAAAAATCAGCATCATGACCCAAAAATCAACATTACACCCCAAAATCAGCATCACACCCCCAAAATCAGCATCATGTTCCCTAAAAGTCAGTATGATGACCCCAATAATCAGCATTTCTCCCCTAAAATCAGCATTGGACCCTGCCCAAAAATCAGAATCATGAATTAGCATCGCACCCCAAAAATCAGCATTATGTCCCCTAAAAGCCAGTGTCATGATCCAGAAATCAGTGTCATCCCCTAAAACTCAGTATCATGACCCAAAAAATTGCATTTCTCCCCCAAAATCAGCATTGCACCCTCCCCAAAAATCAGCATCATGACCCAAAAATCAGCATCACGACCCAAAAATCAGCATCACACTCCCTAGATATCAGTATTATGACCCAAAAAATCAGTTCTCCCCCAAAATCAACATTGCACCCTCCCCAAAAATCAGCATCATGACCCAAAAATCAACATCACACCCCAAAATCGACATTACACCCCCAAAATCAGTATCACACCCCAAAAATTAGCCTCACGCCTCCTCAAAATCAGCATCACACCCCAAAAATCAACATCAAGTCCCCTAAAAATCAGTATCATGACCCAAAAAATCAGCATTTCTCCCCCAAAATCAACATTGCACCCTCCCCAAAATCAGCATCACAACCCCAAAAATCAGCATTATGACCCAAAAATCAACATTCCACCCCAAAATCAGCATTGCACCCCAAAAATCAGCATCACGTCCCCTAAAAGTCAGTATCATGATCCAAAAAATCAGCATTTCTCCCCAAAAATCAGCATCACGCCCCCTAAAAACCGCAGCGTCTCCCCCAGCGCCGCCCTCTCCTCCTCCTGCAGCGCCAGAGCCTGGGGGGGGACAGACACGGCTCAATCCGGGGGGGGACACACCAAGCTGGGACATGGGGGGACATGGGGGACACCCACCTGCTGCTTCTCGCTCTCGCGCTGCCGCCGCGTTGCCGCCAGCTCGGCCACCAGCTCCTCCTGCTCCTGAGCCAGCCGGCCCCGCTCGGCCTCCAGCTCCTCCTGACACCCCCAAAAAGCATCAGCAAAGCCCCCAAAAAATCAGCATCGTACCCCAAAATCCCCAATCCCCACCACACCCCAGCAATCAGCATC